ACTTCCGATCCAGTTGTCTGCCATGGCCTGGGAAAGCAGTAGAAGATGGCCCAAGTCCTTGGGCCCCTGCACCCATGTGGGAGACCCGGAAGAAGCTCCTGGCTCCTAATCGGCACAGCTCTGGCTGTTGTGACCATCTGGGGAGTGAACTGGTGGATGGAAGACCCCCTCCCCCGACCCAGCCTCTGCCTCTCGGTAACTCTGCCTTTCAAATAAAGTAAATTATTATTTTTTTAAAACACCATAGCATTTCTGTAGCTAAACACAAACTGTCATCCCTGGTTGAATAAATGATGACTGTATACAGCATCAGGTCAGCTCAGGTCTGGCTTTTCTGCCAAGATGCTGTATCAGACTCAGCAAAGCTGTTTCCTTCCTGAAGCATCCTGGATCCAGAAGTGTGATGTCCGCCTGTGAGTCAGGACAGACACTCACCTGCCAAAGGGCCCACCCCCAGCAACTTACAGAGCTGGGAGCCAGACGTAGGTGGTCTGACTCAGGACTTCTTCATCTTGGCGCTACACTGCCTCCCAGGAAACCAAAGGAGACAAGAACAAAGCAGCAACTGAATGGCCAGGACAGAACAGCCCTGCCCAGCTCCAGAGTCCATAGCATCATGCCAGCTGCTCTATTTCCGGTCATAAGTGCCTCCCTAACAGTTTCATTTCCTCCTGACATCAGTCCTGTAAAATGGGTACCATCCCTGCTTCACAGGAGGAAACTGAGGCTCAGAAAACCAGTTCACTTGCTCCAGATTTGATGAGTCAGGGGTGGAGCTGACTCACAAGCCCTGGCTTCCTACCCACGTGGTCAGAGTGCCTCCTGCCCTGTCTACAGCTGAAGGAACTGCTCATTCCTGCCACTCTTGGTTCTCTCTTTTCTCCCTTCTCTGCTTCCTCTTGTGTGAGCTTGGTAACTGCAGGGTTGTGATGGAGCATGGAAAACAATTTCTGCACACAGATGTCATCCAAACGTACTTGGCAGATGGATGATAGAAGGGTGGACATACAGATGAATGAATTCACGGACGGGTGAATGCATGGGTGAGTGGTTGGATGATGGACAGGTGGACACATGGATAGGTGGATGAACGGTTGATGGATGGATGGGTGAGTAGAAGGGGTTGATGGATAGGTGGCCAGCTGGATGACTTTATAAAAGTAGCTGTGATAAGTGCTTCCCCAGGAACTCCTGAGTTCTCTGCCTCCTCTCCCGGACACCATTTCTCCCCTTGCCAGATGGATAAGGGGCTCTCACAGGTATTAATCCACGTTCTTTTGCTAACAACATATTATCATGGACTGTGTAAGTCATAAGTAAAAAAGGCTTATTTTGGATCATAGTTACAACCCAATGCCAGAGGCCACACTGGGTGATGGTCTTCTTGCTGGAAAGAATCACAAGTGATACAAAGCCTCATACAGCAAAAGACAGGAGCTTGTGTGCGTCCTCTGCCCCCCCCCCTTTTAATTTGACAGAATTAGACGGTGAGAGAGACAGAGAGAAAGGTCTTCCTTCCGTTGGTTCACTCCCCAAATGGCCGCCATGGCCGGCACTGCGCCGATCCAAAGTCAGGAGCCAGGGGCTTCTTCCTGGTCTCCCATGCGGGTGCAGGGCCCAAGCACTTGGGCCATCCTCCACTGTCCTCCCAGGCCACAGCAGAGAGCTGGACTGGAAGAGGAGCAACCGGGACTAGAACCCGGCACCCATATGGGATGCTGGCGCCGCAGGCAGAGGACTAACCAAGTGAGCCACTGTGCCGGCCCCTCTCCTCCTCTCTCTCATAAATTTACCAGGATCCACTCATGGGGGCTCCACCCTGGAGACCTTGTCTAAGTCTGATCATCTTCCAAAGGCCCCACCTTGCCATGGTCGATTAAGTCTCCATCATCTAAGTATCTCACAGTGAGGATGAAACTTCAGTGTGAGTTTGAGGTGGCAGGTGCCATATTCAAACCATAGCACCATACCTGCCCATTCGCCTGGGACTGTCCCCCTTGGTCCTGCCCACCCAGTTCATGTTATCAGTGCGCCATTCACGACAGTGTCCCGGTTTGGAGAGCAATGTCTGCATGTGCACAGAGGACCAGGGACTTAGAAGGCCGTATGCAGCTGGTACAGGCATGCCCTGCCTCTTCTCTGCTGCCCTCAGGACATGGGAGGGCACCACTGGGAAGGTGTAACAGCTCACACAGGATGCCTGGCTAGGATCCCAAGTAGGTGGGCCCAGAACCAGCTTCTCAGCATCCTTCTGAAAGTGGAGCCAAGTTCTGTCATCATGGAGCCCAGCAATGGAATGAGGGTGCTGGCAGAGCCCACCGGGGACAACCCACCATTCTCCAGGCCTCCCAAAGAGGCTCTCACCCCCATCCAGAATCTCCACAGCTGCCCTAAATGGGGCATGGAAGTGGACGGAGGAAGCCAAATGCCCAAGACAAGGGGGAGGGAAAGAGTATGTGGGCCCAGTGGCCCCAGATGAGTGCAGGGCTCTCGTCACCGCAGGCCGGACAGGCTGAGTAAGATTGCTGCATTTATCAATTTGCAAGAATACTGTAAAGGCTGGCCGGTGCTGTGGCTCAATAGGCTAATCCTCTGCCTAGCGGCGCCGGCACACCGGGTTCTAGTCCCGGTTGGGGCGCCGGATTCTGTCCCAGTTGCCCCTCTTCCAGGCCAGCTCTCTGCTGTGGCCCGGGAGTGCAGTGGAGGATGGCCCAAGTCCTTGGGCCCTGCATCCACATGGGAGACCAGGATAAGCACCTGGCTCCTGCCTTCGGATCAGCGTGGTGCACCGGCCGCAGTGCGCTGGCTGCGACGGCCATTGGAGGGTGAACCAACGGTAAAGGAAGACCTTTCTCTCTGTCTCTCTCTCTCTCACTGTCCACTCTGCCTGTCAAAAAAAAAAAAAAAAAGAATATTGTAAAGGCCTCCAGAAGCTTCTATATACCCCTAACCCACCACTAGGAGAAAGGGACAAAGGGTGGAAGCCACCATAAGCAGCCTGGACAAAACTAGGGAGGCCTAAATTCCACGTTCTGTGACACAATGGGGTTCCTGTCGGGTGTGAGGTCACTCAAGCAACCCAAGGAGAAGCCCACCTGGTGGGAACCGAGACCTCCTGTGCAGAGCCAGTGAAGAGCCACTTCCTGGGCAGGATCCCAGCACAGCCAAGTCTTCCGATGACTGCAGCCACAGCCCCATCATCCCTAGTCCCCCCTTAGCATGTTGGAGACCGCCCTCCCGCCTCTGCCTCCACCCCTGCCAGAACCACCCCACCAGAGGTTCCCGAATCCCTGCCCTCATAAGGGTAAGGTAATAGGTATTTATGGTTTTATGGCAACTTAAATTTTGGGCAAGTGTGTTATGTAGCAATAGATAATACATATGTATGTATTACACACACAAACACACAGTTATAATTAACTCCTAGAAACATTAATAGTCGGTGAGAAAACACGGTCATTTCCAATGTGTTACCAAACTGCTTTTTAGGGAGACTTCACCAATTTATACTCTGAGAAGGCCATCCTGGGGCAAGGGGAGTCAGGCTTGGGCTGCACACGATGTGAAGTAGAATCCAATCATGGGAGTTCCTTCCAAAATGATTCCCCAAAGTTGCCCTATGCAAGAGACAGACTTACTTTGTCATAGACATCAGATGTGGCTCCTGCTGGTACCGGTGGCTGTTTCCCTTTCTTGACTGTGTATTCCAAGTGGCTTCCCTGGGGTGGGGAGAGGCCTCAGGTAGTGTGTTGAATACCCCACTTTCCTCTTCTCACCCCCCTCCCCAGTATTGATCTGTGCACCAAAGTTTGCCACGGAAAACCCAAGACCCGCAGTCTGTCATTGGTAGGTGTGTGTGCAGTGGGCAGGCAGGCTGGGGAGCTGAGATGATGGGGGACAGGGGTGAGAGGGGAGCATCTCACCAAACGCACTTGGTACCCTAAGTGGGCTGTTACACTTAGAAAATTTAGCATACTAAAGAAGCCAGCCCAACCCTTCACTGTTGCTTGTCTCCATACATCTCCCTCTTTGGAAAAAAATGCAGAAAAATATAAAGGTTAGTAAGGCACACGTTGAAATTAATAAATGCTACCATGTAGGTCTCAGCCTTTTCCATTAGGAAACAAAAATTACTGATAATTAAATGTCCTTTATTTTGTTCTCCTTGAACGTGTTCATTTCCTTCCCTCCCCAAGGTGAGAAGTCGGCCATGAAGTTGATGTTTTCTTCTAATTCTTGTTGTTTTTTTTTTGTTTTGTTTTTGTTTTTTAAAGAGTGATTTACTTATTTGAAAGGCAGAGAGAGAGGTCTTCCATTTTCTGGTTCATTCCCCAGATGGCCGCAATGGCCAGAGCTGAGCCGATCCAAAGCCAGGAGCCGGGTGCTTCTTCTGGGTCTTCCACATGTGCACAGGGGCCCAAGGACATAGGTCATCTTCCACTGCTTTCCCAGGCTACAGCAGAGAGCTGGATCAGAAGTGGAGCAGCTGGGACTCAAACCAACGCCTATATGGGATGCCGGCACAGCAGGTGGCGGCCCCTAATTCTTATTTAAACAACACACATTCATAATTGTAATTTGATACACATGCATTTCCCTGTACTTCCTTATTGCGCTTTCTTCACTCAGCCAAGTCAGTCTGGATGCCCAGGCTGTGCACTGCACAGACCCTGAGGTCTCCTTTTACATAGACCACAAGGGCAGTGGTCCCTTAGGGGTGTGTGGGAAGGCAGCGTGCATCCAGACACAGTTGATGCATTACAGACACTGTGTTTATGTTAATCACCATATCCCACTCATCATGCGTCTGGGTCACATTTTATTTTATTTATCTATTTCCTTCATGGAGAGCACCATTCTGCTTTTGGAAATAGTGCATCCGTGAGCATCCTTAAACCTCAAACATGTCTTCCCACAAACACATTTCTCCAGGAATCTCCATTCTTTACCCTGAACTGACTGTGATCTGAATATTATAATCAAGAAAAAGACAAACTGGGTAAAACTTTAAATATTTATTAGTATGAATCAGTGTGTGTTAAATCAAAAATAACAGATACAATTGGGCATAGTTGAGGGAAACGATACAGGATATCAGGTGCAAAGGCCCTAGATGTCTTCTAGATGCAAGACCTGGGTCCAGCCCAGAGGGCAGCGCTGCATGAAACACGAGGAAAGGGAGCAGTGTGCATAACAGAGCACTGATGCCGGCTCGCGGGTTTGGTTTCAGCAGTGATGTTTCAGTGAGCAAATCAGACACTTCACGGTGAGGCCAGCTCAGGGCCCTTGAGTAGTAAGCTAGCTCATTACGCGACTCGCCATGAGCACGGCAGTGCAGGGAGAAGGGGAGCCCACGCCACGGCGCTCGGGGTCAGCCGCCACCCGCCGCAGTCTTTGTCTCTGGGGAAGAGCTTCGGGCTCCCAAACCCCCCTCAGTTTCCATAGGGGCACAGCCCTTATTTCTGGCTACAAGTTAGTTTTCGGTCTTCAACCTCTTAGTCTGTAAGGTGACGTCCTATTCAGCACCCTTCTGTGCCATTTTTACCTAGAAAATGGCAGGTCAATGACGTACCTACGTGAAACGTTCCCACGGCTCCGCTGCCATTCTTAGGGATTTCTCCCGGGAAGCTATCCCGCCGAGAACCCCCACAGAACACGCAGAACTTCACAGAACACACAGCCAGGAGTCAGGCTCGTCCACTGTGAAATGGATTACGTGTCGGCATCACCGGTATAAAATTCTATTTACACATATGCACGCGCATAGCACACGTGAAAGAACAGTAAATGGAGGAGAGGGAGTGAATTTTGGACGGTGACGTCAAGGCTGCTACATCACAGATAAGTACTTGACTTTTTGGGGGCAGTGGTGATTTCCAGGCCTTTACAGAACATTACGTGGTATAGGTCAACCATTAGAACAGCCAGAAAGTCAGCACAGGGCAAACTAAAGAAGTGTAGGGAGCTTCATTGTGGACAAGGGCTGAGCATCGATCTTCAGAAAAGACTCGGTACCCCCGTGAATACTTTTGTGCCCAAGCGTGATCTACCTTTTTGGACAAATGCTCCAAGTGGTGAGGATACACACATGTATTTTGACCTCTTACTGGCTTTGACAGTGAAGGTGATAACACAGGTAGGAGAGTGGTTGCATTCCCTCATGAGCTTCCAAAGTCAAACCACGGGCTCCTCAGCGGGTAGCTTGCTTGCTGCACGTGGATAAGACGGAACGTCTCGTGTGAAATACAACCACTGCGAGCTCCCTGACACTGTGCCTATCAACCTAGCTACGGGCCGACGGAGCAGGTGTCTGCAGAAACCCTTGTTCCCAGGGAAAGCAGGAAGAGGAAGGGTTTAGGAGGAAGCCTACAAGTCACCTGCAGAGCTGTCCTTTCAATTTTCAACTCAACAGAGTTTTTTTGTTTTTTTGCCTTGGGCAAGAGGTATGGTCCTCTGTTGGCCTGCAAGCAGAACTGTGTTGGTCAAGTTGGCAATGGGGAAGACAGCTCTAACAACCCATGCGAAAGCCAGACTAAGACATCCAGGTGCCATGTGCTAACAGTTCTGGAGGTACCCGGCTGGGACGGCCAAGTGGCACTCTTGGACTCCAAATAAAGTCTCTTCCAGCCTTCACACCCTGAGATGGTCAATCGAGCTTCGTTGAGTTGGGTGAAGCCATAAGAACGTGACATTCACAGCACATTCTCAAGTTGAAACGTGCAAGTCTGTGATATGAACGTGGCCCTCTTTCCTTGACTACATGAGTCAGGACCTCCCACATGTCAAGGGCTTGATGGGCATGGCTGTGATGGGACTCCACAGCACTGGATCCTCCTGCGTCACTCCAAGTTCAAGGTCTTCAATCAGCTCATGGTCTTACACTGTGGGTTGTTTGATAAAGTGGCACTGGCCCCCCAGTGCTCCTGACACAGAAGGCAGTGGTTGGCCCTGGTTTGCACACTGCACACCTCTGCAACTGTACTCAGTTTTCCCAGACCCTCAAAAGGCACTGATCCCCACATCCTGTAACAATCACCTCTTGATATAAGCCCTGTTAGGAAATCAACACTTCTTGACCCCAAGTTTGTAGGAAGTTAGACCGGGACCAGGGTCTGAATTTTCAGTGGAAACAGCTTCCCCTCCATCCCATGCCTCTGTCCCTCTACTTCCTCTGGATTTGGTCCCCTTTCAATACCTGAGCAGCAGGGACTCGCAGAGCAAGGTGTCGCTGGCGGCCTGGTCTCAGCTCACCTGCAGTCCAGCACTGACCCCTGGCTGGCCCCCATGCCCTGTTCCCCGAGCCCGGTGGCATTTAAAATGGTCTCTCCAATTCTGCAGCTTTTTAGGTCTAGAATTTTGGAGGTGCTTGTCCTTTCTCCGGCTGGCTTTGCTGTCACCTGTGATTAATTGCTATCGTCGGAAGTCTGCCCTACGATTTACACTCAAACATCCTCCAGTTAATTTCCCCCCCAAGACAGAATTCTCTTAGTAAAAGGACACCCTGCACTCAACTTCTCTGAGAGTGAGGGTTCAGGACTGCGGCGGTGACACATGCCAGGTGGTCCCCTAAATGACACTTAACACCCCCCACCTACTACCGTGGACATGGGTAATTTCTGACTGACGCTTTCCACCCAACCCCACGCTGAGCAGTAATGTGGCGGTCGGCTCTGGTTTGTGTGTCTGTCTGTGGCCAACACGCGGAAGAGTGTCCCTGACTCTGAGAGACAGCGACGTGGTTTCTAAGGCACTCCTGTCTCCTGCATAGCTCAGCTTGAGGGATGGCCCGATGCTGCTCTGATTTCCATCGGAAAGGTAATCAATGAAAGCTTACTTTCCAGAGCCAGCTGAAAACCAGCCTTCCAAATTGCAATTTATCTTTCGGGAAAGGTAATGGCACGGAAGAAGTCACTGAAACTTGACGGGGAACCCAGAAAGTCAGAGGAGAAGGACCCCTGAGAGTCCCTCCCCCCCATTAAGGCAGTAAGACTTGGGTGAAAAGCCAAGACCGTTCAAGGGTGTCTAACAGAAACTGCAACTACATTTATCATCTATAAGTATAGCCCCTTCCCTGTGCGTTTCACGTGGCGGTGTGGTGGGTTTCTCCGGAGCTGTCTACAGTCCTGTCTAAGGGCCAGTTCTTGCCCCCAGCTTCCCACAGGTCTTCCAGGGTGCAAGGCCATTGCTCGTTCCTCTCTAGGACTAAGGGTGGGGCCTTGGCAGTGCATGGGACGCAGGCTCCAGCTTCTTTCTCTCCTGGGTGGCCCGGCTCAGCAGCACCTGCGGCCGGGCTGCGAAGTATGCTTCCCGAGCTTGATGGCCCCGCCGGTTCCATTCTCGTGGGGGTCCAAGGGTGGGATCTGGCGGCCTGGAACAAAAAGGAGGCCTCGATTGAGTGCATTTTCCCACAGTTGACAAACCTCACGCTCACGGCTCCCTCTGCTTCAACACGCCCACCTAGTGCTTGGCCACACAGAAAGCAGAGTGGAGTGGCCGTGTGGTGCTGTGGTTAAGACCCCACTGGGAGGCTGGCGCTGCGGCTCACTAGGCTAATCCTTCACCTTGCGGTGCCGGCACACCAGGTACTAGTCCCGGTCAGGGCACCGGATTCTGTCCCGGTTGCCCCTCTTCCAGGCCAGCTCTCTGCTGTGACCAGGGAGTGCAGTGGAGGATGGCCCAAGTGCATGGGCCCTGAACCCCATGGGAGACCAGGAGAAGTTGGCTCCTGCCATCGGATCAGCGCGGTACGCCGGCCGCAGCGGCCATTGGAGGGTGAACCAACGGCAAAAAGGAAGACCTTTCTGTCTCTCTCACTGTCTACTCTGCCTGTCAAAAATAAAAAAAAAATAATAAAAATTAAAAAAATAAGACCCCACTGGGGAGGTCCACATTCCAAATCACGGTGCCTGGGTTGGAATGTAGGCTCTGCTCCTGAGTTCGGCTTCCTGTTAATGCACACACTCTGTGAGACAGCAATGAGGGCTCAAGTAATTGGGTCCCTGACACCCACAACAGAGACCTGAATTGAATTCTGGTTCCTGGCTTCACCTGGCTCAGCCCTGACTGTTGGCTGGCATTTGGGGAGTGAACCAGGGAATAGGTGATCGCTTTCTGTCTCTCTGCCATTCAAATAAATAACAATAAACAGACAATAGAGGAACTCAGGAAACGTTCTTTTCTCCTGCCATCCTCTCTCCTTTTCTTTCTTTACCTCCTAGCTCTTCTGAATGGTCAAGTTCATATTTAGAATGCTAAAAAAAGTATAAGCAGTTTCTTTTTTAAAAAATTATTTACTTATTTATTTAAAAGGCAGAGTGACAGAGAGAGATGGAGAAATAGAGACAGGGACAGGGAGAGAGAGAGAGAGAGAGTCTCTCCATCTGCTGATTCACTCCTCAGATGCCCCCAATAGCTGGGGCTGGACCAGGCTGAAGCCAGGCGCAAGGAACTCCATCCAGGTCTCCCACATGGGTGGCAGGGGACAAAGTACCTAGGTCATCATCTGCTGCTCCAGGTGCATTAGCAGGGAGCTGGATTAGAAGCAGAGTTCCCAAGACTCAAATCTGCACAGAGATAACAAGACGCCGGTGTACCACGGGGCAGCTGAACCCGCTGTACCACAGTGTTTGGCCCATGTGCAGTTTCTGAACAACAGAATTTTTTAGGATTGGGAAGACCTGCCTTGGGGTGGCGGGGGTAGGGGTGGGGATGGGTGGAGGGAGCTGGGGGGTGGGCATCAACTACTCCTTCCTCCCCCCAGCCCTCCCCCAGAGCCATTCTACTTTAGTGACCGGTTCCACGGCACCTCAACAGTAACCGTAAGGATTCCCCCATCTTTTCTGCTTCTCAACACAGGAATGGGCAGGGAGCTGTAACCCTCCTGGCACTTCGCTCACCACCCACATCCTGCCCCAGCACTTGGGGGCTTCCCGAGCTTGAAAGCCCCACGGATGCTTTCCTTTATAGCGAGCAGTATTTCAAAGTCACCCACAAGTAATCTGATTTTTACATGATTCAATTTTTAAAAACACCACCCTAGAGCCACTATACATAAGCACAAAGTAAAAATCTAAAAGACAACGGAGGCAGATGAGGAAGTAGATTTTTGAGGTGCTAGAAAATATTGCAAAACTGACTGTAGACTGCACAGACGAAGGTATGTCAAAAGTCTGTGGAAAGGGGAATTTGAAGTTTGGTACAAAATGTTTGAAATCAATTCATAGCTTTCTCACAATACACCTCTCCCATGAACTTTCTGAAGGCCCCCCAAATCTGTGAATATACAAAAACCACTTGAAATGGATGAAGGCTCTGGTACGTGGTTTTTATCACAATAAAGTGTGTGTTGTTTTTTTTTTTTTTAAATAAAAGGCAAAGGAATCTGGAAATGACCTTCGACAACTCAAGGACTTTCACAGATTCTATCATCACCTCACCCTGTGACGCTGGTACAATGGCCTTTATCACCGTTCCACCATGACTCAGAGACCCCAGGCTATCTGCGGAAGGTCACATCAATAATGGCACAGTGGGTGAAGCCGCCGCTTGGGACACCTGCGTCCCATGTCAGAGTGCTGGCTCAAGGCCTGGCACCTCCACTTCCCAGCCAGCTTCCTGTAACACATCCTGGGAGGCAGCAGGTGATGATCAAAGTGCTTGTGCTCCTGTCATCTAAGTCGGAGGCCAGGATGAAGTTTCGGGGCTCCTGGTTTTGGGCTGACCCAGCACCGGCTGTTGTGGGCACTTGGGGAGTAAATCAACAGCTGGAAGATCTGTCTCTCTGCCATTCTATTTTTATTTTTCTTTTTTTTTTTTTTTTTTTTTTTTTTTTTTGACAGGCAGAATTAGACAGTGAGAGAGAGAGAGAGACAGAGAGAAAGGTCTTCCTTTTTCTGTTGGATCACTCCCCAAATGGCCGCTACAGCCGGCACACAGCGCTGGGATGAAGCCAGGAGCCAGGTGCTTCCTCCTGGTCTCCCATGGGGTGCAGGGCCCAGGTACTTGGGCCATCCTCCACTGCACTCCCGGGCCACAGCAGAGAGCTGGCCTGGAAGAGGAGCAACCGGGACAGAATCCAGCGCCCCAACTGGGACTAGAACCTGGTGTGCCGGTGCCGCAGGCGGAGGATTAGCCTAGTGAGCCACGGCGCTGGCCATCTGCCAATCTATTTTTCAAGTAGATGAAAATAAACATTTTTTTCTAAGTCCATAAAAATAGAACAATGCAATAAGCAGTTGAGGTAGTTCTCTGTTTATAACCAACAGCTGGATTTTCGGATGGACCCCAGTGTCTGTGTCCTTCCCACTGAATCGTACCAGCTCTCAGTGGCTTCCTTAACCAGTGAATTAGTATACTGGTTTGTTAAGTAACTGGTGCGTAAGTACACATGGGAGGGGAACAGGTTCCAAAGGCCATCTACCCTACAAGTGGACAGAGCGAGCTACAGAAGAGGAGACCGGGGGAGTGGTTACCGAGGCTGGGAGAGCCGAGAGGGATGGAGAGGTGCAGAGAGGATGGTGAACCGGAACAGGGTGAATGGCTTCCAGTGCTCTGGAGCTCTGGTCAAACACAGCACGAAGAAATGAGGTAGCAACTCCCTAGCTCATCTGATTGCTGCACACCGTACACGTGTACTGAAATACCACGCCAGATCCCATTCATGTGTACAATTAGTATGTGCAGGTTACAAATTGTTTTTGGAAGTTCAAGATTTTCAGATCAGGGCTGCTCACCCGATCCTCACACTGACTTTGTGCTGTTCTCGAGTTAACTCAACAGCAGCAACGCAGCCGCCGCCTCGCAAAGCACCCCGCGTCATGCTGCTACACAAGGCTTTCCTTACGGCGACAGAAGAGCGGTGGAAGCCTGGGAGCTAAGGGCCTCGAGAGCCAGCCCAGGAGGCCAGGGTGCCACCCACACTCGCTCTTCCTCTCCCTGCTCCCCTCTTCCTCGCCTTTCAATGAGCAGCAATGCTGGGATGCCAAGTTGAGTAAGACCTGGTCACGTCCCAGAGAAATTCCGTGCTTGCATGTTTCAAACGGTTGCCGACGGGGCTTTTCACCCTTAATTTATTTGCAAGGTGGAGAGATCGCCCATCTGCTGCTTCACTTTTGAGGCAGCAAAAGCCTGGGGCGGCGGGGGAGGCAGCAACTCCATCCACGTCTCCCACGTGGTGGCAGGGACCCAACCACTAAGATGCACGTAGGTAGGAAGCTGGAATTGGGAATGGAGACGGGACTGGAACCCAGGGACTCTGATGCGGGATGCAGGCATCCCAAGCAGCCTCGTAACCACTGTGCCAAACGGCTACCCCATTACCAATCGGCCATTGAACCTGGCTTCTTGGAAGAACCAGGTTCCTTAATCTTCAGAAAATTTGCTCTTGTTAGGATAAAATACTTCCTAGACACAAAATGGCTTCCATTTCCTCAGACTTTCGTTCTTTCCTTGGGTAGAAAGATGTGAGAGTCATTGCTCTGATGACGTGGACTTGCGTGAGTTATTTCAAATCTCAGAACCTTCCTTTCTGCACCTATGAAAAGCATACAGGGAGGCAATTTGACAGCTCCTGCACGATACCAGTGAGAGTACTTGGAAGAGTTTGTGAAAAAGTGGTATGAAAAACAATAGTTTTGTGCAAAAATTTTGAGATCCATAATCCATATGCAGTTTTCATGATAATATGCATTTTCCATAAACTTTTTGACGACTCCATAGTATGCAGCGATTTCAAAAGCTTCTGCACCAAAATGAATTGGCCTTTTGATTCCATTTTCCATGAATTTTTTGAAGTGCCTTCATCTATGATATTTTTATTTTATTCATTTGAAAGGCATCGTTACAGAAAGAGAGAGAGAGAGAGAGAGAGAGAGAGACGGGGGGGTGGGGTGGGGGGGCTTTAACGGCTGGTTCATTCCCCAAACAGCCGCAACAGCAGGGGCTGGGCCAGGCTGGAGCCAGGAGCCTGAGCGGCAGCCGTCTTCCTCCACCTCCCCAGGCACGTTAGCAGGGAGCAGGATCAGGAGTGGAGCAGCCAGGACTTGCAGCGCTGCTCTGATGTGGGATGCCAGTGCTGCGGGTGGCGGCCCAGCACCCGTCGGTCACACACGTTCCAACTTCAGATGGAGTGGGAGGAAAGGAAGTGCTTCCACTGCCAGAGGAGAGCCACGCCCTAACGAGCAGGCAACGCCCGGACGCACAGAAGCCAGCAAACAGCTCTGTGGAAACGGAACACGAGCCATGAAGGCTGTGATCCCCGGAACTGAGAACCTGGAGAAAGGTTACCGTCCTGAGACAAAAGAAGGGGATGGGAAATGGCCAAGAACCGCGCACCAAGGTGACCATGCTGGAGCAGGTTGAATCTGTGCT